ATCTATCTATCTATCTATCTATCTATCTATCTATCTATCTATCTATCTATCTATCCATCCATAAATTTACCCATCCATCCATCCATCCATCCATCCCTTCATTCATCCAGGGAGAACTGGTTGAAGGAGACGTTAGTCTCGCCCTCCCTGCCATGATATTCGGAGTCCTCTCCCTGGCCGCGGGACTCCTGGCATTCATCCTGCCGGAGACCAGGAACAGAAATCTCCCAGAGACCGTGGAGGACGCACAGAACTTCGGAAGGTAACTTCATAAGAAAATTCAATTGGTCGCTTTTAAGAGCAAAGGGGCTATCTCGAAAAATGCTGTTTTGAGAAAATGGAAGGTAAAGTTTCTTGTCCCTTGTTCAGTTTCTTTAAAAGACACGGAGACTTTTCTCTTTAATCAGACACATATTCACACAAATGAAGCCGAACTTCTCCTATAGGTAGGGCAATGCCCATTTTTGGTGTAGGTCAAGATTTCTGGAAGCCCTCGAAATCTGGGTCAGCCCGCTTGTACTTAAAAGCGACCAATTATGGGCTATTCACAGGGACATACGTTTTTTCTGTTACTTTGATCTACAAAGCACCCATATCTCTGAACGTATGCGATAAAAGGGGTTGAAACTTCGCATGCAGTTCTTTTTCTCTCTTTTTTTGTAAGTGTTTTACCGCACTCGCAACTGCTTAAGGTCATATGAGCGCACGGGACGCAATAACATTTTCAGTTGGTAGGAATTAAAGAAAAGAATTTGTCTGGGTGACGGCCGAAGCCTACTCTTATCGATTTTAGACCACCAAGAGATCTTTAACGTGCGCAGCTTGCACACGGGACCTCCGAGATTTTTTCCCCTTCTCCGAGAAGGCTAGAAGGTAACTTAAAGGGGAACATCAATGATGGGCTATTCACTGGGACATACGTTTTTTCTTCTGTTACTTTGACCTACAAAAGCACCTATATCTCTAGAAGTATGCAATGAAACGGGTTGAAACTTCGCTTGCAGTTGTTGTTGTTTTTGTGTCTTACCAGGTAGCTGTACGTCAATGTTCGGACTTTTTGGATCGTTTTGTAATTTCTATTTTTTTTTCTTTTTTGGAAAGGGGGGAGGGGGTTGTGGGACGTCTAGTTTCACGAATGTTTTATTTCGGTGACGTCTCATTTCGTTTTAACAACGACGGTATCACAATGAGAACCATGTGATGATACATTATTGGAATCAATACTGGGTTTGGGTTGGGTCGTCACGTCAAATTTGCATTTTTGTTTACGTTTATTGCTGTATGTCAGTTCACTGACTTCATAACTCATTGTGTCAAACCAGCCCGGAGCGTTGGGGTGGGAAAGGGGGAGAGGCCCAGAGATTGCAGTGTTTATCGGGATTGGGAAGGGGGAGGGGCCATTCATCTATGGTATGTTCTGGAAAGTTTTATTTTTGAGGTGTTAATTTTTAAAAATTATATTGAAGTACACAGGTTGAAATTAAAAGGTAAACTCGGGCGCATTGATTGAATATTATTTTAACCCTCTATTTGTTTGGGTTTTTCCAGAGATTTCACGGCTCATGAAACTCTTTTTTTCGCCCGTAGACTAGTGGTTAAGCTACCGGACTCGTAATCGTGGAATCGCAGTTTAGAGGGATCGAAACTTAACTCAGACCAACGTTGTGCCCTTGGAATAAGCACTTTACTTGAGTTTTCTCATTTATTGGCTCAATATATTTTTTTTTTTTGTGGTGGACGTTAAATTTGGATGTGCCGACTTTTAAATAACCTTACAGTGTTACAAAGAGTGTTAAATCTTACTACTGAGCTTTTCTTCTGAACGTAGACATAATAAGTAAGAAAAGATGTTTCATTGTCATAAGGTAACCTTTATTTTGTTGGTTGAAGTAGACATAGAACCAAAACCTAAGCATATCACAACTTTTGTATAAGTTATTATATATAAAGATGCATACCCTTTTCGGAAGAAGGAAAGGGAGGAAAAGGAGAGAAGGAAGAAGAAGGGCGAGAAGGAGACGAAGAATAGGTAGGAGAGGAGGGCGAAGTGGGAGAATAAGAAAAGGGGAGATGAGGACAATGAATATGAAAGACAAGAATGAGAAGGGAGAAAGGGTTAAAGAATGAGAAGAAGACAGAGGAAAAGGGGGACAAAGTGGAGAAGAGGAGAGGAAGGAGAAGGAAGACAAAGAGGAGAAAAGGAGAGGAAGGGGAAGGAAGACAAGGAGAAGAAACGGAAAAGGAGGAAAAGGAGGAAAAGGAGGACAGGGAGGAGGAACATGAGATCA